GTTGGTTGGGTCCACTATTTGGGAAGCCTGAGGGGAAGAGACCGCTGGGGAGACCTAGACGTAGATGGGAGGATAATCTCAGGCGGGATCTATGGGAGATAGGAGTCGAAGGAGACAGGGTCCGGTGGAGGGCTTTGGTTAATTCGGTGATGAACCTTCGGGTTCGGTAAGCCATCTAGTTAGTTAGTTAGTTAGTTAATTATATAATATGACAAATTCTACGTAGCTCTCACGTGACAAGCAAACAGGAGTAAACGCTTGAGAAGTTGTAATGATTTTACCACAAATAATAAGATTCTTAGCAATAAACAAGAAAGTGAGTTGCTTTATAGCAAATTTTACAGTGTAAAAGCTAGAGATCTGTTGGCTAGTTGAGACATGAGCCTAATCAAATATTACATCAATGATAAATTTAGGATGCTTCAGAGAAAAGGGCAAAATCTGGATTAAATATTAGATATATGGTTTTTAGTTTCATTATGACAAACACGTAAGTCCAAAACCCACAGTACACCATATGATATTTGTAGTGGATAAGGTGGTAAGAGGGTAGATTTCACTCTGAGGTCTACAGTTCTCCTGACAGAATATAGTTCTCACTGTATTCTAAATCAGTGCACCCTTCTTAAACAAAATCCTCATCATTCTGCTTTTCCATCAGCCTTTAAGAAGAATTATTTTCAAATGAACAATTATCGTATTAATGTTACAGGCAAGCATCTCTCCACTCCTGTATTATGTCTATGAAGTATTGTAATTCTATTTGATTCTCATGTAATGCCTACCCAATTTATTAAAATTTATAAAACATTTTAAATGGTTAAATGAATACAACAGACTAAATCATCTCTCACTTCCTATTCTAGACCACTATACAATATGATCCACAGACGACTCAACAAATGTACCGTGAAGATGGCAACTATTCACCAACATGGACAGTCTTCAGCAAGTGGTGCACCTAAAGCCTAAGAACTGAGACTATTTAATAGACAGTGGACCAAAATGCCTGCAACCCAACAATTACACCAACTTTCTGTGTCCTTTACATAGTACACCAAAAAAAAAAAAAAAAAAAAAAAGCATGATATGGAGGCCATATCCAACTATTCACATTTCATCTACAAAAAATTTCAACAAATTATAATGATTTTTGATACTACATCCTACAATAAAAACTGTTAAGTTAAAGTAATTTTGGCTTGTATCAGTCTAAAATAATCCCAACTGTACATAAAAATGATACTAAACGTTATATATAAAAGTTCAGTGAACAGAACTGACACATTGTTTATAAACATGAATAAAACAACTTTGATTTATTTTATATAACAAATATTTAAAAAAAAACAAAGAAAATTATTTCCGACTCTGCATATGCAATAAATGGACATGTATACATCACAAAGAATGATTTGGAAAATGTGTACTTCACTACTACACACATTTCCATACTTGTTCTATGAGAAAAGAAGTAGGAGAACGGAACAAACACATAAACACATAGCGTGATAAGTGAAGAGTGCAAACTGTGAAACAGGAAGAAGAAAAACCTACGTTTGGGCCCAGCTGGCTGCTGACGAAGTGAATTCAGATTCAAGTTCAGATTGAGGAAAGTAGGACGAGCTGAAACGATTCACACATTTATCGTCATCACATCAACATGACAATGAAAAAAAAAGAAAGCATGAAATGTGTTCATAACCACTGAGCAAATCCAACACAACAAATGAATCCAAGAGAAGACAATAAAATCATTATCACCGCCGCCACCACCATCACCGTTAATGCTATCGCTCCATCACAATGTCCTTTCCACTCAGCATATCTTAAACAGTGATTTTAATATTTTTGAAACAGTTTATGAAACAAAAAATATTAATCTGTTATACACATGACTTCACATTAAACTTTCTCTTCTAAAGAAACAATTAAGCTCACGAGGCAGATTTTACTACGTCAGGGACCAGCAACTACCAGCTTGCAAGCCACATGCATCTCTTAAATGCATGTATGGCTCTTTATTTGTAGCAGCCAAAATGAATGAGTTTGCACACGTGTGCTGATACATCCCAGAAACATGTGTCACATTATGGACAACACTTGAATTTAATTCATGAATAACATTAAAAATTAAATCCGTGGCGTAACAGCTCCAGAGAGCCAAAGCCGACTAGCTTGACTGCTGGCCTCACGTTCACATGCCTAAGTAGAGGTGAACGATCATCCAACCAGATACAGAGTGACGTGTGGTCAGCATGACGAACCCCCAGTCATTGCTAGTTTTCATGACCTGATTACGCTACTCATTGTAGCTCCCCAATTTCCTCACGATGCTGGGTTGGCACCGGTCCCATACACGATCGAAAGCTCATGAGAAAATTTCTTCTCCCCCGAGACTCGAACCAGCGCGAATTTCGTATCGCCGGTCCGAAGCACGATGCCTCAGACCGCGCGGCTACGGCGCGGGACTCATGTATAACATATCTTAATTAATTAGGTGATACTCTTGTTTACTGTATATGAAATATTAACTACTTTATCATCCCATTCATCACTTCATAATTCATTGTAATGGTTGTCGTCTTTCACTATTTATATTACAAAAATTATTTTCATGTGTTTTATCAACATGGAAAATATAAATAACACAAATTTTTTACAGACCTGTTACCTCATAATGGAAGAGACAGGTTTTCTTTTACACAGAGGTAGAAACCTTATTGTATTGTATGCACTTGTGTAATTTAAATAAAATAATTAAAATACATAAATCAGTAAGATGAGGTTGATTCAAAAATTCCTCTCTGGCATCAAATGGCAAATAATATAATGTGGTTCCATAAAAGGTTATTTTGAATAACATTAAAAAGAATGGTTCTTCGCCACTAAAAAGTAAATGACCCCTGGGACAGGCCTCCTGCGGTTAATGCTTACAGACCAGATTTATACTGCAAGTAATTCATATGCATTTTAAGAGATGGTACAATAATACAGAATACTGGAAGACTATTACCTACAATGTGCACAAAAGTCTGACTTGCTAGAATTATAACTGTTTTATTCAATATAAAAATATAAGCAATACTTTTAACACTGCCAGGTATTAAAATGCTAAATTAACATCTTAAGAAAGGAATTTATAACAAAAAGTTTATTTCCACAATTATGTATACTGAACTTCAGATACTTAAGCACAGTGCTTTTAAATTAATTGGCATGATGGCATCAGCGTACAGTGAGTTTAAGTGGTGTGACAAAAATGATAAATCATAGATATGCTACTGTAACATCAGTAGTGACTTATTTTAATCCTTCCCATGCTACAAATTAGTTACGTCACTTGGACACTGGCCCTTCTTTCCCTCATGTCTTCGGCATATAACATAAATCGACTAAAAAGCCAATATTCTACTGTCTCTCAACACTTTAGCTAACAAACTGCAGCTTTTTGAAATCTACATTTACAAACTGACATAAAACTATAAATGAAAGGCATGCATTTCTGCTAAAAAAATAACTTAGCATGGAAAGGGTTAAAGGGTCATTCCAGCTTGACATTTGACAAGAAACTGAACCACAAGTTTGAATATTAGAAAGAATGTCACATGGTAGATAAAACACGACTCACAAATTGTTGGATGTACCAGTACATAACATTTGAAACAAGTCTGCACAGTGCTTATGAACACACAGTTAAAGTATTCAATGTACAAGCAGAATAAGCTGCTTCATAACTTTATCCCACAAGAAACCAATACCTACAACAGAACACCTTTTACACATCAGCAAGAAGAATCAATCAATATGTATCAATTGTAGTATTTAAAAGAAATCAGAACATCCTACTCCCCCCTCCACCTCTACACAAGAAACATATGTGATCTACAGCGTTCACTGCAACTAAATTCAATTAAGTCCTCTTGGTCAATCAGCCATGCCATGTGGTCACAGAAAACAGACGTTTCGTAACCATCTCGGACCTCATCATCAGAGATCTGATGTCTGCGGAGCCCAGGAAGTCACATATACCTGGACCAGTCGCTACCAAACTGGGTGTTTTCCTCATTTCCCCACACGTTTCATACCTCATACTCATCAGTTCAATCACTCTAACAATATTAGGTTAAATTATGAAGCACTTCCATATAATTATTCCCATTCTCCTGTTACTTTTCCTATATTCACTCCAAGAATCCCACTCAGCTCCATGTTCTCAAATACCCTCGGTAACTACAATATTAAATTATTTTTGTTACACATTTCAAATCCAGAAAATATTTTTTTTAACCTATGTCATCCATAAAAGCAGTATTATTCAATCTCGGTAATGGGATTACATGTGTGGGGAAATGAATAATACACTAAAGTAGCTCAATTAGTCTCTGGGCCAAGATTCAAACCTGAGAACCCCAAAATATTGAGCAGGAACTTTAGGACACCACCATTATGTTTAATCCCTGAGATAAATATGCATTCCTCCAAAAAATGATCTTGAGTGGATTCTACATGTCACAGTATCCATATGCTCACACATGCACACGACACACACATCACAGATGTACATGAAGTCTAACACTTTTCGCTATAGAACATATCTAATCAGCTTTTGTTTAAAGTCAGAGAGAAACTGAAGAAAAAAAAATAAGTGGAAATTTAAAATAACCTTCCACTTCCAATTTAAGTTAACTTTTACACAGACAGAGCATGCCATTAATCGTTAGACTGAATATCCGGCAGCTGACAAGGTTCGTTCGGAATCGACTGTTTCATTAAAGAAAGCCCAATTAACCTCTGCGTACCAACTGCACACCAATACCCAACTTTTAAATCATGCAATGGCACTTCATGAACAGCTTGAGGATTATCTGTGCTCCAGTATCTGTGTATGTAATCACTACAAAATTTATTTTTGTCCAACACCGATATCATAGAACGTAATTCTCTTACAACATTGTACATCATTGCTTGACATGGTAATGCTATTAGGATACTGCCTACGAAACTCTACGGCATTTCCTACAAGAAAAAAGCTGTGTAAATGTATCGTCTATGAATAATATCTGTTCAACGATATACTTCATTTTCGAACTCTATATTTCACAACACTGCGAACTATACTTGTGCGTATCTCAAGGACAACAAACTATGCTAAACAAGTGACCCTATCGTGATATGCCAGCACATAACAAGCAACAGACAGACGGTTCCGCGGCCAGCAGTGGGCATATGTGGGCAAACAGTTTTCTAGCCGGTCGGTCTAAGGATAAATGGAATTCCCTGCATTTAAATATTTTTTTCTTTAACACTGAATACTTCATAGACCAATTTGCAACCAATCAAATGTGCCACACACTGTTCAGCCAATCAGTTTTCCATATTATTCCAACAAAAAATAAATGACTCAAAACTAACGGCAAATCATTAATTTGATGTTTATATAAACTTCAAACAACAAATACAACAATAAGTTACTTCTTTCTTGCTGTTTTTAAGTTTTGTTCCTTTAGGTAGATTCCATACAATGTTTCACACTTTAAGATTTTAGTATGGGCATAAACGTGTCTTGCAGCGCACGTGCACAAAATCAGAATATTATATAAAAACACACAAATGTGGAGGTAATTTTTTAAATTGTTATTCTTATGAAATGCTACAAGAAGGTAACAAAATTTGCAATGTTCCATCACATATAATATAACGGTACGTCTGGTTAGTAATGAATGTGCAGGGAACAACTTAGCTTGATTCCACAAAAATGAAAATTATGAAGACAATTATTAAAAAAAATCATCAAAAGATTCTAAACTGTACTGAGTAGCAAGAATATTAATTGCAAGACTTTCATAATAATTATTCAATCCAGGTCGCAAACATCTGCATCACAAATGCAAAGCTTAACAAAAAAACAGTATGTACAAAGCTGTTATCTATCTTATTATTTCAATAACACCAATTTATATGTAAAAACAAGTTATCACTTATATATTTATTATTCAAGTCATATACACAAACTTTTAAATTATTGATGTTAAAATTTAAAATTTTAAATTTAAAATTGATATTCTGCGCCATTCATCGTTAACTCGATGTTACAATGTTGCGCTTTAATATTTCTACATGTTTCGATGTCATAGCATCATCAGGTTTTTATATTTAAAACTATTCTATATTTATTAATGCAAGCTTTTCGTTGATTATAGATTGTAGTTTACTATTGTAGGTGTTTTCTTTGATCTTCTTATTATTTTGCATATTATGTTGCATATTATGTTAGTTGTTCATTGTTCTGTGAAATTATTAACAATATAATTAACATTTGAGTTATAAATATTATTTATATGAAACTGAGTTTGGATATTGTGATAAAAATTCATGTAAAAGTAAGAATATATAAACATGACGCATCAAAACTATAAAGTTATCACTGTTGGGAATGACTGGTCTAATAGAATCATCATATAACCTTTTTATTACTTCTGAATAAGTGATAAACACAAAGGAAACAACGAGTAAACATAACCTTACATTTTTGACAGATAATTCTTATTGAAACAGGATTCATTAAACTGAATATTATATAAGGAAATGTTCCCATTTTTTAATTCAATGCACTTTCTGTTGAT